CTTCACATAGAGTGGAAGGGGGAGAGACATTGACATGAGAGGAGGGACACATTGACTGGTTGCCTCCTGCACGAGCCTGACCAGGGCTGGGGATGAACCGCAACTGAGGTACGTGCCCTTGGCCAGAACTGAGCCCAAGACTCATTGGTTTGTGGGCTGACGCTCTACCTCTGAGCCAAACCGGCCAGGGCCCATGTTTAGTTTTGACTTCCACTTCCCATACCCTTGAACTCCTCGAGGACAAGAACCCTATATAAATGTTTGTTAAATAAATGCATTAAAGTAGTGCCCTGTGCCCAGCTGGTGTGGCTCACTGATTGAGCGTCGACCCATGCACCAAGAGGGTTGCCGGTTCAATTCCCGGTCAGGGCACATGCCCAGGTCGTGGGCCTGATCCCCCGTGGTGAGCATGCAGGAGGCGGCCAATCAGTGTTCTCTGTTATCCATGTTTCTATCTCTCTCCCTCTCCCTTCCTCTCTCTCTAAAATCAATTAAAAAAAAATTTTTTTTAAATAAAAAAAGTAGTGCCCTGTCTGTAAAGCAAGGAGACAGGCCTACCCGGGGGGTCTGTTGGGAAGACAAGTGGGTTCATGTGTGTAGCGAGTTTAGCACAAAGGAAGTGGGGCCTAAGTCACAATTATCAACCTCAGGCGTGTCAGCTTCTTTTAAAGAAAAAATAAAGACCTTCCTATACCCCAGGTTTTCAATTCCCTCTTTCTTTCTCCCCAACAGGGCATTGACATCGGAAATGGACTATTATGAGCTGGGCCTTTCAAGCTCACACTCTCTGGTGGTTCTATCAAATCGGTCGGCATTATTCCGAATCCCGCCTTTGACAGCAACCTGAAGGGCCTGAATTGTCATCATAAGACTACCAGACAGCGTCAGCAAATTATGTGTTCAGAGGACAATAAAAAACGTTCACATAGCATCCCCTCTGGACCATCCCTATGCTGTTCCACCTGAACCTCAAAGGTGGCTCCCCAAGCCTGGTCTCTGCGAGAGGAAGGGAGAGAGAAGTGAAAACAACATACGAGATCAAATATGAAGGCTACGAGCAGCTGTAACTTGCATGAAGCGCCGAATCTCTTTTGTAGGAAAATGATGCTCTGCCCTGAGCCAGGCGCTGTCTGGTGGGTGGCGGGGGGCGTCCCCTGGGAAGAGGCCCCTGGGGAGCCAACCCTCCCTTTCCGGCCTGGGGCCTGGCCTGCCGCCTGGGGTAGGACTGGAGCCTGATCGAGGGCAAAGGTTGTATCTTTCAGACATTGGGATACCTCCCAGAGGCCCGGCTGCAGCCCCGGAAACTGTTCTGTTTCCTCATTTTAAAAGTGACCTGGGCTGTGTCACGGCAGAGGAGCAGTACTTCACCTGAAACCTGGCAGCTCAGTGCGAATCAAGGATCTGGAAAGGTCACGGGGGGTGGGGGTGGGGGGTCAAGAAAGGCTCTTTCTTCTGTGGCCAAAGGGGGTTTATTGTTGCTGGTGCCCAAACTGGAAAGGGAATGGCAGGAGATTAATAATTGAAATGTTGCTACTATTGGTTTTCTAAACTGTGGGTCCTCTCTCCCTGGAGTCATCATGCCTGTAAGCAGCTCAGAGAAGAGAGGGATTTACCACACACTGAGAAAATGTCCACTACAGCCAAGCACTTCACATCTACTGGTCTCCAACTGTGGACAGCTCACTAACGTGCCCAAAGCCATACCGCGGGATCCCTCTGATCCAAGTACCGTACACTCTGCCCGGAACTGAGGGTGACATTCGTGGGCCTTGATTCACTACTCAAATGTGGCAAGAATGAGAACAACACGTGGACTTACTCATTTTAAAAATATAAAACAAACACAAGAAAAAATATTTTAAAATGTGGGTCACCAAATTATTTTAATGGAAGATGATTCAGAATCCATTTCTTGGTAGGCAGCTTGGTAGGTCTGTTCCGGCCCGTCTGATGATAGACTGCAGCATTTGGGGAAAGTCTGATTGTGTAAGTAATCAACATGGTTCATGTCAGGTGGAGAAGACCATAACCAACTTGGAACCTTGGATCCCGCTTCAGAACCTGTGGCAACATAGACCTCTGTGGCCGGCCTTTGCACTACATGTTGAAGAAAGTCTTGCTAAACGAGTTGATGGAGTCACCAACAATTGCCAGGCAAATGTTTAACCTTCTAAAGAAAATAAACCTTTTTAAAGAAGTTGAACTTAATCAGCACCAAGCCACTGAAAACGAATGTGCTATTTATAAACCCATCCTTAGCAGCAAATTCTGGAAGACTGATTACACTTTGCCACCCAGTAATTCGCATGATCAAACATACCCTACTTGGAAGATAGCATTTCTCTCCAACTATCTGGCAGGTCAGAATGCTCCGGTCATGCACTGAGGCCTTCACCCAATACCCCAACCTGGGCGACTGCCCCCCATTTAAACAAATCAGTACGCTCCTGCATTATAGCTGAAATGCCTCACCTGTCATTATACACCTCCTGAGAAGAACCCCAGGGTCGACTTTTTAGTAGCTCAAAAACGATTAGAAATCACTCTTCTTGGAGAATTCCACAGGAAAAGCCCTGCTCCTTCAGGACACGCACAGGGAGTCTACGTGTTCTGATTGGGAGATGGTAAAAATCAGGTTCACGGAATCCAGTAGAGATCGCCAAGGAGGGGAAAAGGAGGTCACCGGAGTCTCAGAAGCACTCATCACAGTAAGTGAATGGAGGTTCCAGCAATACAATCCTCGATGCCAGAGGTCACATTCTAGAGACCGACCAACAGTCTCTTTTAAGAAGACCCAGGCCTGGACTCGTGCAGAGCGATGCTGAACTGGTTGAGGAGGGGAGAGGAGGAAGACTAGGACAAGAATGACAGAGCTGCACAGAGAAACTGCAGACTTAAAGCAGAGGAATAATTAAGAAAACACAAATGAGATGGAGAAAACCCAGGGTTGAAAGAGGGGACCAGGGAGATCACCTGGGACAGGGAGGGAAGGCTTGCAATAAAAACAGTGCGCTCCTCAGACCGCTGAGATCCCTAATTAGTCTTAAACTACAACACCTTGCACACCCACAGCCCTTATCTGGTGTGAAGCAGGAAAAGAAGACTGTAGAAAGGAGTGCCCGTCCTCAGCCTCTAGGTCGAGCCTACATTCCACGTGGATTCAGAATGAAAGGAACAGGAGGAGAACAGCAGCCCAGTTCTCAAGATGGCTTGCTACAAAGTTGACAAAATACATCCCAACCCACATACCCAGCCCCTGTGGAAAGGAAAGCAGCCGGTTACTATAGTTCTGAATTCAATGCCAAGTTCCTTCTCTAATGCTCACCCAGAGTGTCCAGCAGAGGGAGTCTCAAGGAGGTACTTAATAAAGAGAAAATTGTTTCATTTTAACACTCCATAGACAGTGGGAGCATTGACGGTAGCCCCCTCCCATAGGCACAGACGAACAATGAATGCCCAACATGGGTTCTCCTAGCATGTTCACAGAGCCACCGGCTCCTTCTATTCTGCATGGTGGAGCGATCAGAAATTTCATTTTGTTTTGTCGAATGGTTAAATGGACCTTGTGTTCTTCAGAATCAAAGAGGAAAGCCCCTGGAATAACATCTCTCTGTTGCCTTCTAAACAGCCCCTTTGTTTCCAAGAGAGTCTGAAAAAAAATATTTACAGTCCATAGGTTATTTACAGCCTCGTTATCCAGGGCCTGACTGGTAACTTTATTCCACCCAGAAACCTAATTCATTTGGAGCCCTGGAACTAATAACAGATTTTCTTTTCAGATAAGTTCTTTTTTTTTTTTTTTTTTTTTAATCTGCCTCTTACAACAGAGATAAAACTATTAATGCGTTCCCCATTTCACTCGCCACCACTGCTCTGCGGATTTATAGAAGGATTAAAACCTCCTCTCCTCACCCCTCCTCTCTGCTCCACACAAACCTTTTCCCCTCTCATTTGCTATTTTATCCACAGAATATCTGAACAAAACCGAAAGAAAGCCAGATGGGCTGACGCTGAAAGTATGTAAAGGCTGCTATTCCAGTGATTTCATGAGAAAAACATTTTCGGGATGAAAAGACGGGAAAATCGGGCCCACTTGGGTTTAAAATTCCTCCTACTACAAGCACACAAAAACACACCGAAGTGTAAAAAACTTAGTTGGTTCTGGTCTGGTTTCTGCCTGGCAGCTGACAGAACAGACTGGAGAAGGAGGAGAGCCAGGGAGGGCAGGCGAGACGAAGCGCCTGTGCCCTGCGTTTTCTTTCTTCTTAGAGCCGGTCCGTCCAAGCCGAGAAAACGACCCGACGCCAGGTGAAGGTGCACCTCGCAGGTTTCCCCAGACCCTCCGAGAAACACGTCTCGGCCGCCTCCCGGACTTAAACCCAAACTACATTTTCCCTGCGAGACACGAATGCGGGGAGATTTTCGTCTATTTCATTGTTCCGCCCGGGTCTGACACGGACTTTTCCCCGCCACCCCCTTCTCTTTACCCGGCCCCGCACACCCCGATTCCACAGCCCCCCAAAACCAGGGGCTCGCAAAGAAGAAAGGAGCGTGGGGTGGGAGCGGAGTGAAATGGGAAGGGAGCTGTGAGGACGGAGTGGAAAGATCATCCTGAAGGTAATCTTCGGGATGGGGGGATGGAAGCTACCCCGCACCACCTTCATTTATTACAAATAAATAAAAAGCACAGTCATGGGAATCGATCTTTTCCCCGGCGCCCCCTCCCAATTTCTTTTCTTCGGGCAGTAGCCGACCCTCGCACCCCGCCCCCCCACCACGGGTATAAGATCCTGGTAAATTCCGGATCCTGGTCGTTTTCGGGGCGAGGGAGGGGGGCGGGGAGGGGTGGGGAGCCGGGGAGAGCCCGGAGGTGGGGCGCCCGAGGCTGGGCGCCGGGGCTGCGGACCGGGGGCTGCCCGGCGAGGGGCCGCGGGCAGAACAAAGCTGCGGGGGCCGCGGCGGCGCCGGCGAGCGGGGTCTGCGGGCCGGGCGCCCCTTACCTTCGTACACGGGGGCCATCGGGGCCGGGGTGTCCTCGATTCATGGCAACGGAGAAGGGAACGCGGCGCGCGAGCTCGGCCCCCCCAGCCTCAGTCGGAATCTGCCATCTTGAGCCTGTGTCTCCGCTCTCGGCGCAGCCGGGGCCGCCAGCGCCCGCATCACCGCCTCACTTGGCCGGCGCCGGGGGAGGGGGCCGGGCGCCGCCGCCGCCGCGGCCCGGGCCCTGCGCGGGGGCTCCGGGGCGGCCGGGCGGGCGCAGCGGCGGAGGCCGAGGGGCCGAGCGGCCGCGGCCCCCGAGCGGGTCCGCGGTGGGGCGGGAGCCGGGGCGGGCAGCGCGCGGCCAGTCCCCGGCCGGAGCTCAGCTCAGCATGGCTGTGTGTGGGGGCTTCGGCAAAAGTTGCACGGGAGGCGGAGGAGGAGCGGGAGGAGCCGGGAGGAGGGGCGGGGGGCGGGGGCCGGGGGGCGGGAGCGGCGGGCCGGCGCGAGCGGGCGGCGGGGAGCGGAGTCCGCGCGCAATCGAGCGCCGATGGCACGGATGCGAGGCGGAGAAGGCCGAGCCGAGGGCAGAGAGGCGGGCCGGGCGGGGGGCGGGGCCGGGCCGGGGGGGCGGGGCCGCGGGGGCAGCGATGGCCCGCGGCGGCGGCGGCTCGGAGGGCAAGGTGTGCGCGGTTCAGTTCGGGTGGGCGGAGGGGAGCGGGGCGCAGGGGCAGCGACCCGAACTTTGCGCGTGTGCGCGCGCGTGCCGGGCGGCCGGGGAGCAACCTGGAAAGGGGGCGCCGGCTGGCAGAGCGACTCCGTCTGTCGCACCTGGTTGGCGCTCCCTGACACAGACGTGGAAGGAAGGCGTGGGGAGTGGGAGCCAGCCGTCCTCGAAGCGGGGCTCAGTGCGCGGAGGACCTCGGAATCCACGTGAGGTCAGAGCTGCAGAAGCCATTCATTCCGTGCAAGGCTTCGGAAACGCAGCGCGGCGGCTGCTGGATTCCCGAGGGAACCTGGTTTCCACGCCGTCCTCACGTCCACCGGGTCCGCAGGGGCTCCTCCATCACCGGGACGGGAGGTTCCCGCTGACTCCTTCCAGGCCTCTGCCCTTCTCCACGCTCTCTCCGATCAAGCCTGCAACTGAACCTTCTCCAAACTCCCCAGCCCGGGCGTCCCCAGCTTCACCGAGGCAGCCCCTCCTGGATTCTGTGACAGGACGCCCTGCCTTGGCGCCCATTAAGACTGGAGTCTCCTCTTAGGCAGTGTTTTGAAAACCGTGGGTCGTGACACAATAATTAGTCATTAAAGAAATTCAGTGGATGGCAATCAGCTTTAAAAAAAAAAAGTAACAGGATAGAAAATATTAGGTTCCAATGCCCTTAGTTAGGGTCATTATGGTTTCATAAACCTTTTGTTTCAGTTATATATTCTGGACATATGTACTGGACTATGATGTAAATTGTATTTCCTAATACTGAAAGTCATGGATGAAATAAAGTTTAAAATCTGTGTTTGGGGATGTAAAATAAGGATCTCTAAGATGGTACAACTTTCCTAAAAACAAACCCTTTATATTCTCACTACTACCTCATGAACACCCCCACACCTCTGAAACAAAGGGTAAGCCCTTCCATACATCTTTCTGGTTTTGCTAGTGGTGCGTCATTCCCAGTTCGTGTCAGGATGACCTTCGACTCTGCCATCTTCCTTGGCCTCATATTCAATGCTACACTTCCTACTGCTTCTCGTAGCCTAATGCCATTCACATTTGCAAATTCCTAGGTCTCATTGCTAGAACAGGACTCAGAGGTCATCGGGGCCAGCCCTGCCCTTTTAAAATGGAAGAAATGAGGCCCAGAAAAATAAAGTATATTTCCCATGTTACACAGTATTAAATCTTAGGGTCATGTTTCTTGGCTGCCACTCTGGTGTTCTTTGCTTCATACCATTCATTCATCCCTTCTTTTCTGTGCCCCCTGCCATCCTTGACTGGTCTCAGCCCAATTCACATAGCACTGCCACCTTCCTGACACACAGTTCTGCCCATGCCAGGCTCCTGCTCCCTTCTGACGAGGACTCAACCTCTGCACGCAGGGCTGAGGTTCCTCGCTCCTTGGCTTTTAGTCAAGGCAGGCAGGCCCTGACTTACCTTTCCACGCACATGAGTTCAACAAGTCTCTGCCTCTCCAGCCAGACTGGTTTACTCGTGGTCCTCTGCCAGCCTTGCCCATCTGTGCCTCTGTGTCTTTGCCCAGGCTGCTACTTTCCCACCAATGTGCCTTTTCTGTCTTCTCTCTTTAACCAGATTCTACCTGTGCCCGAGATTAAAATAAACTTGGGTTCAGATCCCAGCTCTTCTACTTAATAGCTTGAATTCGGTCAAATTGCTTAACTTCTCAGAACTTTGGTTCCTGTATCTCAGTCATAATGAGAATAGTAGTAGTAATAATAATAATGTTCTTTTCTTGTACCTATAAGTCTCTATCATGACCTTGTCAATGTAAGAGACTTCCAAACCTTTTATAAGAGTTTATTTGAGCCAAACTGACGACGTATGCTGGGGAGCAAGATCTCAAATACTCTGGAGAATAATCGTTTTGTAGTTTCTTTTCTTTATTTGAAATTAAGAAGGGAACATAAGGAAGATTAGACAGAGGTGGGAGAGAGCAAGGTGGAGATGGGATTACAGGATAGTTAACAGTTAGCAAGATTACTGCTCTCTTGAGGGTTAATACCTGCTTCCCGGGGTATTACTTCTCACACCTCAAAGGTGTGCTAAGCTAGATGCACAGGAACAATGGGCAGGGCCGGCTTCAAACCTCCCACTAAAGAGGTTATAGGCCTGGGGCGTTCCTACCCACCAGGACCTGCTCAGTGAGAAATGTATGATCAGCTCACCCTCTGAGGTTACTTCCCATAGAAACCCCCCTTCTTTTGGTCCACAGCCTTTTCCAGAAGGTATTAGCTCTCTTCCCCTTTCCAGAGCAGTAACAGAACTTGCTGCGGTGATGGAAATGTAACAAGCTATGGCTATCGGGCACATGGAATGAGGCTAGCGTGACTGAGGAACTGAGTTTTCCATTTTAATTAACTTGAAGAGCCATGTGTGGCTAGTGGCTACCGTGACTGGACAGTGCATCCCTAAACTGTAGCCTCAGCCAGGGAAGAAACCACACTGATCTTGCTACACATCATGTCCCCAGCAGCGAGCACATTGCCCGGCACATGGTAGGTACGGTACAAATATTTGTTGATGGAATGACGGCTGCCATTTATTACATGCTCACGTGTGCCAAGTACAAACACTGAGAACTTGATTCAAGTAATTTGGCATAGTCTTCCCCACAGGCCCTGAGGTGGGGTTAGATTAGAGTTTGTATGGAGGGTACATAGTAGAGGTTCAGTAAAAGGTGGTTATTATTATTATTATTAAGAGCTCCCCATGACCATGATCATCCAACTGATTTTTATCTCTTCTTCCTTTAGGCTCACAGCAGTGCGTGCCTGTCACACACACTCTGTTTTCCCATGGTGTACCTCACCTTACATGGCAGGCTTTCTTCCTCTGTACAGGTGCCCTGTGCTCACAACTGGGCTGGCAGCATCTTGGGGCAAGGCCCAAGGCATCCTTGTTCGGATGTCCCCCAGCTCAGGGCCTGTACTGCTTCGTGTTCGGTAGCTGCCTCTACCTTTGTCCAGTTGCTGTCTATCCATGAGTCTCACTTTCCGGAATACCCTCTCTGTGCTCCCCAAATTCATATGTTAAAGTCCTAACCCCTAGTACCTCCAAAGGTGACTGTTTGGGGGAGTAGGTTCTTTAAGATAAAATGAGGTCACTGTGGGGGTTGGGGGGGCTAATCCAATATAACTGGTGTCCTTGTAAGAAGAGAATGAGAACAAAGAGACACAGGAGAGAGACCACGTGAAGAAATGGGGTGAAGGCAGCCGCCTGCAAGCCAAGGAGAGAGGCCTCTGAAGAAACCAAGCCCACCGACACTTTGATCTCAGACTTGAAGCCTCCAGAATGGTGAGAAAATAAATCCCAGTTGTTAAAGCCAGTCTGGGATACACCCCACAGAAGGTGAATTAAAGTGAGGAAAGTTTCTTGTGTGCACAGAAACCCTCTTGAGGGTGGCCTCCTTCCCATGGGAAAAGGACCCTCGTAGGCATGGGAATTAATCCCATGAAAGGAGAACAAGAGGGCGCGAGGGAAGCTCCCCGGCTATTCTGAGACCCTGGTGACTCAGCTGTACGTACCTGCACGGGGCACTTCAGCCGAAGACATTCACCCGAGCCAGCTTACTTGGCATCATAGAAATGGAAAAGTTACTTCCATGAATTTAGATTATTTTGGTCACGAGTTGGCAGACTGCGTATGCCTGTCTGTCTTCCCCATGGTGACTGCACCAAGTGGGAGCAGGCTAGAAACCTAACGGTGAAATGCCACCAAGGAGCACGTGCGAGCGGGAAGGGAGGGGGTCTGAGGCAGAGTCCCGAGGAGCACCGTACGTAAGTATGGGGAGAGGACAGAGGCATTCCTGCGGAGGACAGGGAGGGAGGGAGGAGGACACCTGGACAGAATGACACTGGACGTAGCAGGTGACGGCCCCTGGGAAGGGAGGTGTGGTCAGCAGGGCTGCGTGCTAACCGGAGGTTGCAGCACATAAAGCCAGCGGGGAGGCATCCTCTGCATTGAGCAGCACGAGTTGCGTGAGTGACTGTGGGGAAACCGAATCGAGGGAAAGGCAGCATTCTTAAATTCAGCCTGAAGAGAATGTGCAGCCCTGGCTGCCGTGGCCCAGTGGGTTGAGCATCGCCCTATGCCCCGACAGGTCACCGGTTGGTCAGGGCACGTGCCCAGGTTGAAGGTTATAGGAGGCAATCAATCAATGTTTTCTCTCACATCGATGTTTCTCTCTCTCCCCCTCTCCCCTCCTCTCTCTCTCTAAAAAAAAAATCAATAAAAATATATTCAGAAAAAAAGAATGTGCAATGTTTGACAGGTGGAGATGGGAGGAGGGTGAAGAGGGTTAGGGAGTCACCAGAAGAGGGCACTAGAGAGTACCCCAGGTGGAGAGAACACACTCAAAGTCCGGGGGTGAGACCCTGAGGTGGGTCCCGGAGCTATCGTGTTTGGCTGGGGATAGTATGCATTCCATTTTATTTAATACTCCCATTAGCCCTTAGTGTC